GAGCGCCGCGCGGGCCCCGCGCCCGCCGCCGCGCCATGGCGGAGACCAAGATCATCTACCACATGGACGAGGAAGAGACGCCGTACCTGGTTAAGCTGCCAGTGGCCCCCGAGCGCGTCACGCTGGCCGACTTCAAGAACGTGCTCAGCAACCGGCCCGTGCACACCTACAAATTCTTCTTCAAGTCCATGGACCAGGACTTCGGGTCAGTGGGCGCGCGGGGCCGTGAGGCCCGGAGCGGTCCTTTCAGACGCGCTGTCCGGGATGGGCCGGAGCCTGGGTGTGGGCCTGTGGGCGTGCACAGGTATCTGCGCACCTGTTTGTGCCGGTAGGGCCTTGAGGGTCCTGTGCCTGTGGACGTGCCCTGCAGGCGCCCGTGACTGCCGCCCTGCCTCTCCGCCGCGCGTGGGGGCGCCAGTCTGGGTGGTCTAGCTCTTCGTGTGTACCCTGGTGGGCCTTGTGGGCACCCATTGTGGCATGTGGATCCACATATCTGGTTCTGGGCTGGCCCATGGGCCCTGACTGCCAGGCCAGGGCCTGAGAGCTCTAGATGAGGGTTTGTGAGGGTCCTGGTCTTTCCAGCTGTGGGGCCTGGGCCCTGTGTGCCCAGTATAAGTGCCTAGGGCCACCCAGGGAGCTGTCTTTTCCCAGAGTCCCATCTTGACACCTGTTGGGGCTCAGAGTTCACTGCCTATCTTTTATAGACAGTGGGTCTCAGGGGTGCACCTGAGCTGGGACAGGTGGTCTGGAGGGTTGTCCTGGAGGGTGTGTGGTTCATGAGGTTAGGCAGGGGAAGGGACAAGGTGGAAGCAAGTGAAGGTGGGGGCAGGGTCCAGCCACCCAGTGGGTCTGCTGGTCAGGATGGGGAAGTGAGCTGGGGCAGGACAGGGATATCTGTTGGGATCTGCAGAAGTTTCTGGGGGTTCAAGACAGGCTCCCCCAGCCCCTCGTCCAAGGCGTGAAAGTCGGCAGTGGCCAAGGGTGGCTGGGTACATGGGTGGCCGCTCACCCACTCCTGCCTGGTGTTCCTGGCCCATAGCCCTTGTGTTTCCTGAGCAGCCGGGCCATTTGCTGACTCTCAGCCTCTGAGTCCGAGTCTCCATGGTGGCTGTCCCAGGCCAGGGGACTTCCCGCCTGTGCTGGTCTGGGCCTCTGGGACTATGCCGGCACAGCCTCAGGTAACCCGAGTCCCCAGCTTGGCAGTGCTGCGAGGGGGCATGCAGAGGCCCCATCGGCCAAGCAGGTGTGCCCTGG